CAATTTTGAACTCAAAATTCGCTTTTCTGGGGGAGTTATGGAGGGGGAAAGCAAAATCAAAAAACTTATTTTTCTCGAAAACTACTGAACCGATTTTAATGAAATTTTAAGAGGTTGTAAATATAGATAAGACGATTTTGGAAAAAAAATCAAAATTTTTTTTTCAAAAAAAATTTTTGAAATTTTCAAAAATTTTTTTAGGGTTATTTTTTGAAGTGACCACTTTTTCTTTTGTTGTAAAAAGTACCTTATAATGTCCCCTTTAACATATATGTATAGCCAAATAAGTATGGAAAAAGTGACCCGAATATATTTTTCCAATTCATTCCTACTCACATAAAAATAACTTTTTGAAATTTTTAACTCAAAATTTTGAGTTTTTTGGAACATATGGAGGGGAAAAAAATCGAAAAACGCATTTTTCCCAAAAACTACTGTATGCATTTTAATCAGATTTGGATATGTTGAAAAGCCAATTAAAGATACTTAAAAAAAAATTTCAAATTTTTTTTTCAAACAAAAAATTTTTTTTTTTGAAAATTGCAAAATGAAAATTTTTTTGAAATTTTCCATAAAAATTCTCTATTTCTATTAAAGTGACATTTTCATGTATTTTCTCATTTCATTGTCTTATGTGATCTACTTAATAAAAAAATGTTGCCCGACATTTCAGGGTGTGTCGCGGTAAATAACTCAAAAACCATACCCGGTACATTTTTATGTTGTACGTAAATGGTTAATTTTAAAAAACCTATCAAATATTTTTGCAACTTATTACTAGTGGGTTATAAAGGTGGCTAAATACAAATCTGAAATTGATATAACAAAAATATTTTTGTCAAACAAAAAAATTTGGAAAATTTTAGGATTTTTTGAGTTTTTTTTACCGTGTCGCACTCTAAAATCATCTAGGTCATTATTTTTTAAAAAGTAAAACTGTTAAAAAAGTTAAATAAAAAAAGTGTGATGTAAGCTTCAACGATCCAAAAAGAAAAAAATGTTAAATGACAAAATAAAAATAAAAATTTTTGGGTATGGTTTTTGAGTTATTTACCGTGACACACCCTGAAATCATGTCGGGCAAAATTCTTTTATTAAGTACATCACATAAGAGAATGAAATGAGAAAATACATAAAAATTTCACTTTAATACACTTAAAAAAAGTTAATTTTGAAAATTTCAAACAATTTTCATTTTGAAATTTTCAAAAAAAAAAGATTTTTGTTTGAAAAAAAAAATTTGAAATTTTTTTTGAAGTCTCTTTAATTGGCTTTTCAACATATCCAAATCTGATTAAAATGCATTAGTTTTTGGGAAAAATGCGTTTTTCGATTTTTTCCCCTCCATATGTTCCAAAAAACTCAAAATTTTGAGTTAAAAATTTCAAAAAGTTATTTTTATGTGGGTAGGAATGAATTGGAAAAATATATTCGGGTCACTTTTTCCATACTTATTTGGCTATACCCTATCACATGAAATTGTCCATATGTATATATATATGTGCATTACCGTACGTGACAAATAGCATGACCATGGTTTTTGACATTTTACTCAAAAACTATATTTTTAAAAAATTTGGAAAAAATATATGTTAAAGGGGACATTATAAGGTACTTTTTACAACAAAAGATAAAGTGGACACTTCAAAAAATAACTCTAAGAAAATTTTTGAAAATTTCAAAAATTTTTTTTGAAAAAAAAATTTTGATTCTTTTTCTAAAATTGTCTTATCTATATTTACAACCTCTTAAAATTTCATTAAAATCGGTTCAGTAGTTTTCGAGAAAAATAAGTTTTTTGATTTTGCTTTCCTCCTCCATAACTCCCCCAAAAAAGCGAATTTTGAGTTCAAAATTGTATAAAGTTATAGTCATATGGATAGTAATATATTGGCTAAATTTGAGAAAAATAGATGCGGGGGCAGTTTTTGCACACTTAACCCCCTAAGCCCTTTCATTAATTATAAAATTATTGAATAACATCAATAATTTCTTTTTTAAATAAATATTAAATCCTTATTATTTTTCTATAGGAATTATGATGTTTAAATTCAAATCTTTTGAAATTCACTATCTTATGACAATATTATTATTATCAAACATGAGGCAATTGATCATTCCGAGTCGAAGACTCGGTGCAAGTGTCGGAATATCTTTGGGAGTTACAGGGCACGAACCAGTGAAAGTATTTAAAAATACGGACATTACGGACCACTTACGGACCAATTGCTGGCAAATAATAATTAATGATTATCGAGTGATAAAATCATTATCAATTCAACTATTATTTTCAAGAATTTTTAATTAAAATTCTTCTTAAAATCAATTATTTTTAATAATTTTCGAAAAAGTTCTTTGACAATTTTCAAATCTATTTGTTTACAATATTCAATTTTACGAAATTTCAATTATTCGTGAATTCTTCAATTAGATAAATATATATTAGAAAATAAATTTTATAATAGTATTTAAAAAAATCGACATTTAAACTATCTCAAAAAAATTAATTCCAAAGAATTTTTAGTTAAAAATGTGAAAAATTCAAATTTTCAAAGATTGTTATCTGATACCTTTTCAAATTATTTATAAAAATTTACGCTCCAATGCTTTTAAAATTCAATTACAATCTAATATTTTAATTGAAATCCATTTTTAAATAAATTTTTATTAGAAAATTATACTATAGAATTCAATTATTTAAATGCAAAAAAAAACAATTTATTGAATAATTGCATGTTTCTTAACATTGAATTCTTATAAAGAATTGCATCAATAAATATTTTAAAGTAAATGAATTCTTTCGCAGAATTTTAATAAAAATTTTAAGAATAATTACATGTTTCGAGGAATTCGATTAAAATTGTACAAAAAATAATTGAAATTCTGCATTATTTATGAAAATAAAATTGAATTCTTTTGGAAAATTTTTGAAAATAATTCAATTTCGGAGAAAAATTTAATTATTTTCAAACATAATTGAAATTTTGACAAGAATTTAAAAAAAAATTTTAAACGTATGTAATTGAATTTTTGCAAAGAATTTCATTACTTTTGAAAATAATAATTGAATTCCTACAATCATTTGTAATTTTGCTAAAATTATCCAAATTATATCGTACAATTTACGGACTTCAAACAAAGTTACGGAGTTTTACGGGATTTACGGACCTAGTTCGAGCCCTGGGGGTCAATTATTTGCAAAGAATTTTAATGAAATTCTTGTCAAAATTTCAATTATCTTTATAAATAATAAAATTCATCCTAGGAATTCAATTATTGTCAAAAGTAATAAAATTCTTCGCAGAGATTTAATTATTTTCAAAATTTTTTTTAAATTCCTCGTTGAAATTTTTATTATCTTTATAAAAAATAAATTTCATCCTGGAAAATTAATTATTTTCAAAAGTTCTGATACAATTTTTTGCAAAATTTAATTATCTTCAAAAGTAAGAGAATTCTTCACAGAAATTCAATTATTTTCAAAAATTTTTTTTTTAAATTCCCTTCAAAATTTCAATTCTCTTTGTAAATATTAACATTCTTCTGAAAAATTCAATTACTTACTAATGTTTTATAAATTTCTTCCCAATAATTCAATTATTTGCATAAAAAATAATTAAAAAAAATTTTTTTTTATCATCTCTTTTAATATAAATTAATAATTTTATCACTCGGTTATCTTTAATTATTATAAAACATGAAGACATCGATTGCTCCGAGTCGAAGACTTGGAGTGATCGATTTCTTCATGTTTTATAACAATTTTTTATTAGTTGTTTAATTTCAAAAAGATTTGAATTTGAATCTTTTAAAGAATTTTATTTCCTATGGAAAAATAATAATTAAATATTTATTTAAAAAAGAAGTTTGATGTTTTTGAAGAATTTGAAAGAAATTTGTAAATAAATGTAACAGAAAATTTTTTGGACTTAAAATTTTTCCTTTAAATAAAAAAAAATTTTAATTTCATTCGCATTTACTGAAAAAAATCTCGAAAAAGTCGATTAGTCGCATTTTTTCACAAAAAAGTCGAAAAAAGTCCCATTTCTTTAGAAAAGTCGGAAAAAGTCGCACAATCCAAGCGATTAAAAAAAATTTCTTCTGACAATCAATTTGGAATGAAAACTATTAAACATTTAGAAGAAAATTTACTTTATGAAATTTTTTTCCAAATGTTTAATAGTTTTCCTTGGTTTAGAGCAATTTCCACATATTCATTATAGTAATCCAATGTTTTTTATGTTTTATCTACATGGTAAAGATAATGCGAGACGCAACGCAAAACACGTTAGAAATGCATGGCATTTTTGTGCGCCTTCGTTATCTTTGTCATGTAGATGCAGCATTTAAGGGCTCATGAAAAAATGGTGCTAATACATGTAATAGCGTTCTACATGAGGGAGGGGTCAAAATTCCTAAAAAAAAAAGGGGCTACGTGGTTTATGGACGGCCTCCAAGCTGTATCTACATAAGGAAAAAAAAATTGAGAAACACGCAACGCAAACGCGAAACATAAAAAATTATAATTTATTTTTCTTGCATAGGGAGCGATAGAAGGGGGAGGGGGGAAGAATTCAAACAAAAGAAAGAAAGAAAAATAATTTAATTGCTTACCTTTTCTTTAAAATTTTCCTCCTTGGGGACGATGCCTGCTCTCCACAAAAGTCACAGATAAAATGGTGGATCATGACGCCAAGCCAAGAGACATAGAACTTTTCGCGCAAAGTAAGCACTTGCGCATTCAAAAATTCCCTATAGAAAGGAGTGATGAACTATACTGATAAATAATCCATCTAAAACGAAATGTTAAGCTTAACATTTTAGACGAAAATATAGTTAAATGAATAGAGAATGATATTTTCTATAAGAAAACGTAATATTTCTTACAAATATTTTTTATAATTATAATAAAAATATTGTCAATTTGAAGTCTAGTGACAAAAAATAGTTCCGCAAACTTGTCCACCAATCGTAGCACAGAAGCGGTCAATTCATTTCCATGCGTTTCACTTTGTCGACAATTAATTTGTGTTTTGATAATATTACAAAATTTTATTATTAATAAAAAAAGTGAGGTTAAGATTGACAGGTACAACAATTATTGTTGAGGATTCACTCGAGTGCTTTAAAACAATGCTCAATGCAAACATCAGGCAAACTTTATAAAGTTGCGTTCAAATTACCACCATAAGTATAACGAGCAATTCACAATAAAGGCACTTATCGGTAATTATTTTTTTTCCTCTTTACTGTTTATTTCTATTTGACTTTCAAGATTTTTTCTTGCTTTTCTTTTTTATATTTTCAGTATTAATATTCTATTCATTTCTATTTTATTTAATTTAATTTTTACTAATTCTAATGTTTTTCCGTAGATCTCTTTGAGAGTTTCAAATCGTACGAGGGACTGTTCTATTGCCTTGGCTCTATTATGCACGATCTTGTGTTATACTTGTATACAAATAATTTACAAAAAAAAATATTTAAATTAATGTTCAAAAGGTGAGAAATTACATTTTTTAGTTTTTATTTTTTGTAATTGAAAAAATTAATTTTACTTTTTAGGGAGAATCAATTTTTCGACAGCAGAGTTGTGAGAGAATAGTCTTTTTCAAGTTGAGTGAATCAAAATATATCGTGAGACGAAGATATCCCAATCTATGGACTGAAATTCTTCTCCAGAGCAATATCCTTACAATCAATCATTGAACGATCAGGTGAAGTAGTAATCTTTTTTTTCAAAATGCCAAAGTTGATGCACTTGTAAAATGAATTTAGATTTTCATTTCTTTTAAACAACATTCCTTTGAACTTATTACTACTTTTTATATCTTTATTTATTAATTATTAATTTTAGTAATTGATATGCTTTCTGTATTTTTACTCAAGAAATTAAAAACATAACCTCAAATTTTTTGCTTCTTAAGTACCTTTCTTTGGAGCGTGACACATTTCCTTTATTATTTGTTTATTTTCCCTAATTTAGTTATTTTAATTTTGCAATTAAATCTTTTCAGTTGGTACAAATTGCTTTGACAAATTTCTTTCTCTTTCATGTGAATCCTTCGCAATTGCCAGTCATTATCGGTGGATTGTTGGATGCTAATTGTTTTGAGGGCATAATAACTGGCTTCACAGTCTGTCCCCTATTTCCCTAAAAATACCCATTTTTTATCTTTGGCCCCTAAACGTACCCTATTTTAAAAATTTCCCCGTATTTTTTTCGTCACAGAAAATCAATTATTTTCAAAAAATTTTTAAGTAATTTTATAAAAGAATCCAATTATCTTGATAACCAACAAGATTTTCCCCATAATATCAATTATTTTAAGGATTTTTAATAGAATTCTTTTCCAAAATTAAATTATTTTGATAAATATCAAAATTCTTCTCAAGAATTCAATTATTGTCAAAAATTGTAATTAAATTCTTGTCAAAATTTCAATTATTTAAACAAACTTTAATAAAATACTTTGCACGAATTCAATTACTTTTATAAATTTGAATGATTATCTCTTCAAGAATTCAATTATTTTTATAAATAGCAAAATTTTTCGCCAAAAATTCAATTATTTTCAAAAATTTAAATAAAATTCATTGCAACATTTCAATTATTTTTAAAAGTTTATCCCAATTCAATGTTCTTAAATATTTACTATTTTCATAAAATTTATAAAAAGATTTAATTAAAAAAAAAAATTGTTGATACAATTCTACGAAAAGATTTAATGATTTTCATAAATAATAAAGTTTCATTTGCGAATTCAATTATTTTTCATCGCAGAATTTCAAATATTTTTAATGCAATTTTAAATAAATTCCTTGAAAAATGTAATTATTACTAAAAATTTTATTAAAACTTGAGGAAAGAATTCAATTTTAAAAAACATTCAATTATTCTATATAAAACAATAAAATTCTTTCCAATAATTTAAATATTTTCATAAATAACATTTAATTCGTCGCAGAAAATCAATTATTTTCAAAAATTTTTAAGTAATTTTGCAAAAGAATTCAATTATCTTGATAAGCAATCAAATCGCATAAATTCTTACCATAAAATCAATTATTCTAAGGAATTTTAATAAAATTATTTCCCAAAATTTAATTATTTTGATAAATACTCTATCAATATTCATCACAAGAATTCAATTCTTTTGAAAAGTAATAAAATGCTTTGCAGAAATTAAATTATTTTTTTAAAAATTCTCGTCAAGAATTAAATTATCTTTATAAATAGATAGGAAAATTCTTCTTGAGCATTAAATTATTGTCAAATTTTTTTTTAAATTCTTCTCAAAAAGTCAATTATTTTCAAAAATTTTAATAAAATTCTTCAAAAAGTTTTCAATTATTTTCAAAAATTGTTATAAAATTCTTTAATATTTAATAAATTTCATTAAATTAAAATTTTAATTAAATTCCTTAAAAGAAATTAAATATTTTCAAAAGTTGTTAATACAATTCTTCGTAAAATTTAAATTCTAAGAAACATTCAATATTATTTATTTTTCTATTTAAATAATTGATTTCTCGTAGACTTAAATTATTGTCTTTTGTACACTGAAAAAAAAAAAGTATTGAACCAAGAAAATTTTTCTTGGTTGAAGAAAATCGTGGGATTGAATACGGCCAAGACTATTAAAGTATTGATTCAAGAAAACGATTTTCTTGACATAGGATATTTGGGAGAAGAACATATATTCTTGATCCAAGAAAATATGGAATTCGACCAAGAAGTTAATCTTCTTATACGAAATATAAAATGTATTAAATGAATAAAATATTTTCTTGTTCTAAGAATATATATAGATGATTGAATTATTTTATTCGATTCATTCAATGTTTTGTAACGTTCGTTCAAGTAATTCAAGATTAAATGAAGAAAACATTTATTTTGTGAGAAGAACAGATATTCTTGATCCAAGAAAATATGGAATTCTACCAAGAAATTAAGTAGCATGTAAGAAATGCAGAATATATTAATTCAAAATCATTTATGTATCAAATCAAGAAAGTATGTTCTCTGTCCGAGAAAATATTTTCTTGATTTGAGAAAATTTATAGTTTTCAATCAAAAAAATACTTTCTCAATACAAGTAAATTATTTACTTAAATTACCCCCCCCCCCCCTTACCTCCATTCCATCTTTTCTAATACTTAGGTCAAACATTTTTATTATTTAATTAATTAACATTTATATTTTTTATTTAAATAATTAAATAATTATTATTTTACATATATATTTACATTTAATTAATACTTAACACAAATACAACAAATATACCTTGAAAGAAAATTTTCCACGGTCGGAGGAATTGAACTCGGGTTGCACGCACCAGAAGCCGTCACGCTACCACTATGCCATCCTAGCCTCAATGGACAGTTTTCAAAAACTGATATTTAAGTTGCATATACATTTGAAGAAAAATATTTTCTTGGATCAAGAACACCGGCATTGTGTTAAGTAAAAAAAAGTTTCAAAGCAAATAAATAAAATGATTCGATTCAAGAAACATGAATTCTCCAGACAATACTTTATTATTTCGCTTAAGAACATGATATTCTAGATTCAATACTTTTTGGTACTTCGGAAAAGTAAAATATTTGGTTGAAATAATTACATATTTAGTTCCGCCAAATACTACATTCTTAATTCAAGAATTCTGTTCAATGCTAATAATTACTTGACACAAGAAAATGAATTTCTTTCTTCAAATAAATATGGGATTAATTGAATATAATTTTTAATCGACTTGAAACAAATATTTACTTATATTAAGATCTTACACTTAATTGAATTGAATAAATAAAATATTTCATTCCAGAAAATATAACATTCTCGCAAGAAATTAATGATTTTGAAACATGAGAATATAGAAATGCTTCAAGTAAAAGAAATGCTTAGATTAATTAATATTTCTTTGAAACAAAATAATTTTTAATTGAGTTGAAACAATTATTAACTTGTATTAATCTTCCCATTTTCTTGGCTCAAGACTATGGGTGTTGGATGAAATAAATAGTTGCTTTAAAGGAAATAAAAAAATTATTTGACTCAAGATACCAAATGACTCAAGGTAAATTACTTGACGTGAGAACATGATATTCTTGATTCAATACTTTTTCGAGACTTGGCGCATGTAAAACAGTTCGTTTGAAACAGTAAGATATTTACTTATGTCAAACCCATATTTTCTTATTCCAATAACTTTGATCAATGCTCAAAATTACTTGACACAAGAAAATAAATTTCTTCCAATAAGAAAATATGGGTTTGTTTCAAGTAAATCAGGTCAAGAAAATGCATTTACTTGATTCAATGAACTTTTTTTTTCAGTGTACTCACGTGGAATTGCCCATATATATCAGCTGTTGCTGATGTCAGTGTTGAGATTTATGAAATGAAATGACCACACAAACTAAAAAAGAGATCATTTCTCCTCTCTCTCCCTCTCTCTCTCTCTCTCTCTCCGTGATGAGATCACTCGACATTTATGATTCCCTTTTATTGTGTGCCTGTGTGTAACGAGGCCAGAAAATAAACAAACTCGATTTCCTTGTACTATTCATTGACTAGAAATATTATTAAGACGCAGGAGAGCTTTTGCAAAGATTCTGATCTTATTTTATGTTCATTGAGAGGAGAAGTTTTCTTTGTCAATGAAAAGTACTCCCTCTATTTCTTCTTGCTAGGTTTCTTATATTCATTAACTGTTTGTCGTTTTACGGAAATTGAAAATTTTTCTTATCGATTCTGAACAATTGGATTTACTTTATTGGCTTTAAATTTAAATTAAATTAAATTCGAATAAAAATTTTTCGAACAAAATTATTCTTTAGGAAATTCTTTTATATTTTTTACGAATTTGTGTAAAAAAAGTGAGAGAAATTTTTTGAGAAAGTTTTGATTGTGTAATGATTGTTAGTTTAATTCTGTTGTTGTTGTTGTTGAAGGAAAAATTGAAGAGTAATTGTTGTGAATAGGGAATGTAGTGGCGACAGCCGGATTTCCATTTTTCTCATCGAGTTTGCCAAAGATAAGCAAATGAAATGTGTCAAGATCCTTGCCATGCATGCATGCGGAAAAAAAATTAATAAAATAATTTTTAATGTCGACTTTTTTTATAGAAAAGCGTAAACTTTCTCGAATTTCAGCGCTTTTTTATGGAATTACAATTTTTTTATTTTTACTATTTTTTATTATTTTTTTTTACACTATTTTTTTGTACTATTTTTTACTATTTTTTCTATTACTTCCTCATAGAGGAAGTTTAGTAATACCGAAATTTTTCGAGTTCGATTTTTTGACATATCTTTATGTTATTTGACCTCAGGAGTTCAAAAATGACATTTTTAAAAAATGTCATTCCGTATGTGTGTGTGTGTGTGTGTAAACATCACATTTTCATAAATATCTCGAAATCATGAAGAGCTTTTGGGTTGGATTTTTTTTTAAATTGTAGATCTCACCTGCGGACATAAAATGAGAGTACTTTGAGATAAATTAATAATGTTTAACTAAATTTTTTTTTTATTTTTAATTTTGCAAAAAAACGTTTTTTGTTCATAACTTTAAAAAAATGTTAGGACACCTATAAATGTTTTTCCATAATTTTGTAGAGTTTTTTTAGACACATCTTTTGAGCCATAATTGAACATTTTTCGTTCATATTAACCGGAGATATTAAACTTTTAAAAATTCAAAATTTTGGAAAATAAGACTTTTTTGAAAATTTTGTTGAAAAATGTAGAAGTAATCTTAAAATTATCGTTACCGTCTTGTAGAGCTTCAAAAAACGTTTCGATTGACCTATTTTTGAACCTAATTCGATAATAAATTTCGAAATTATTGGTATTTTAAAAACCAAAAATTGTGGAAAATGACATTTTCTCAACTTTTTTGTTTGAAAATTTTTGTTTAACTATTAAACTATTATAACTATATTGTAGAGTATTTAAAAATACATTGATTGACCCAAGATTCAATCACTTTTACCATATTTATAAAAAGTTATTCATATATTTTCCTATTATTATTATTATCTCTATGTGGAAGTAAAGTGTTCATGAAATGAGCACCAAAATTATAAAAAAAATATACAACTTGGCAGCGGGTTTTTATTTATCAATTTTATTCCTTTAAATAAATTTTGTTATCCCTTGATTTTTATATTCTGGATTTTAATAATTTGTATATTTATTTTATTTCTTTTTTTCGTTTAAATAAATTTTCTAATTCCTTGATTTTTATTTTCTGCATTTTTAGAATTTGTATTTATTTTGTTTTATGTTCTTTTAAATAAATTTATCCATCTCCAGACTTTTATTGTATTTTAATAATTTTTATTTGAATCAAATAAATATTTACTTGAATCAAATAATTTTTATTTATATCAAATAAATTCTATTCGAACTAATAATTTATGTCTTTAAAGAAAATACCATCCACTTGACTTTAAATTACTGAAAATTACTAAAAAAATTACTTAAAAGAATTTTAAAAAAGTACTAAAAAAATGTCTCCAAAATTACTAAAACTACTTAAAATTAGTTGATTCAAGAAAATATTTATTTAATAATAAACAAGTAATTCTTTATTTGAATCAAATAAATTCCCTTCAAAGTAGAAAACGCTGATGGAATTTTTAAAAATAGTTATGCGAGCAAAAGCAAAAAAATTGTAAAAAACAATTTTCAAATTAACAAATTCCGAAGATGATAATAATAATAAAAAGATCCTTTCGTGATTGCATGTCACAAACACGCGCCGCTTGATATTATATATAATATCAAAATAGTTCTAACAATCATGAGATGATCATCAAAATGCCCTAAACCGGTTCTTTCAAACCAAAAAAAAAAAAAAACAAAAATCATTAAAATTATTTTTGTTACAAGAAAAAAAAACTATTATGTACGTTTCGTAATAATGTATAATACTCACAGGGCTTTGAACTTATAAAAGCAGAGTAAAATGAAGGTCAATGAATCGCTTCTTTCGTGTTAACATATGTACCTGATTCGAATTTATAGAGCTGACAATTTGAAATTTGTTTCAAACTTGTTAGATTTCATTGCCTTTGCTTTTTTTCAAAAAAAGAAAGAAAGAAGAAAAAAGAAAAGGAAGAAAGTTTATATGTACAGTGCATTGGTTTGTGATATTTTTGCAAACATGACATGTGTTTGGATATAATTATGCAAGAATGTTGGTCAGACCGTTTATCTAATAAGTAGACTGGTCACGTAAACTTGAAGAAAATGAAAGAATAATGTCATTGAGTCATGTCCCCCTTTTTTCGCTATAATAATCAGCAGTGGACATTATTCCTTAATTTAATTTTATTGTGCACTTTTTTTAATTTACTTTCTTTTGTTTATTTTTTTATAATGATAATAATTTAAATAATAATAATAATTTATTTAATCGTAGGACTTTTATAATTGGATCCTCAAACCCTGCTTATTGTGAGGAGAGTAAATAAATATATTTAAATAAATAATAATTTTAATGATAAATAAAAATTTAAATAATAATCTCTCGAAATATGAATTAACAAAAATTTAGCCATTGATTTACACTAATAAGAATATTCACTGATTTTTAGTAAAATTTTCCTATTTTCTTTAGTTAGGTATAATTTTTATAATAAATTTTATTTAAATTTTTACTAATTTTTATTACCAAAAATTCTTACTTGATTTTCACTAACGAAAATTTAGAGATGTAAATAATAGTTTAAATAATAATAAGTAATAATTTTAAATTAATAATAAATATAGTTAATTGATTAAAATTAATACTCTCTTAATTTACTAATTTTCTCTTTAGTTCAGTGAATTGTTATTTTTTTGAAATTAAAAATTTTAACTTTCTATTTTCGAATTAGTTAATAATAACTAATGAATGTTTTTTCATTAACTATGTTTTTTTTACTTTTTACTAATAATTACTTAATTGTTTCGGAATAATGACTTTTACTAATTTACTAATAAAGATTTATCTTCTACTAAAAATTAGTTATTTTCTACTAATAATTAGTGATTTTCTAGTAATAATTAGTTGTTTTCTACTAATTAGTCACTTGTTTTTTTAAAAAGGGTTATTTACTACCAAAAAAAATTGTCATTACTGATATAAATAATTATAAATAATTCATGCACAAAAATTAGTAAGACGGAAATAAATTTTTTTCGCAAATGCATTAACAGGAGTTTTAGTTGTGAATGAATAAATGTATTATAGTGAAAGGGGTCCACAGAGGGTTGAAGGACCATTGAAAAAGAATGATGAGGGCGGAAACGGAAGTTGAATGCAATTTATCCCCGCATACTTCTTGTTGTCCTTGAAAAGGGTGTGGAGAAGCTATACGGACATCGAAGAAGTGGGAGCGGACCCAGGAGTGCTTTTCTCGTCCTGAAGCTTGGGGCCGGGGGCCGATCAGTTATTGTTGCGCACGCACGTGGAACACGCGTATATCGTGATCTTTCATACAGAAAACCATTAGTAATTTAAGAAAGAAAGAAAAAAACCACAGTGAATTGTTTTTTTTTGTAAATAATCTACAAATATTTTTAATTACAATTCAAAGTACGTTTCTTCATTATTTTATTTTTTATTTCTTCTTTTTCTATTTCTTCATTTATTTTTTTTTGTTTTTTATCAATGAATTAAATTTTTGAGTGTACTTTTTCTATTGTATATTTTTTTCTTCAATTAAAAATTGACTTTAATCGGGATGTTTTAATGAAAAGTTTATTGAAGAAGTTTATTAACTATTGATTAATTTAATGAAGAATAGATATCGAAAAGTTCATTTATTAAAAATTGCTTGAATTAAAAGAACAAAAAAGTTTATTGATCATTATGCAGAAAATCATTTTGAGAATATTTTTATTGAAGATAATTTTATAAGAAAAATATTTGATAATTTGATTGAATTCGATTGAATTTAATTGTTGTCATTTAATTTTATTTTTAATTTTTTACTTTAATGTAATTTTAATTAAATTATTTTTTGTTTCATTTAATTTTAGTTCGTTTTTAATTTAATTTAAATGTTGGTTTAATTTGAATTGAATTTAATTTTTAATTCACATAACAAAAATTAAATTTTAGTGTTCTTTTTACAGAAAGATGCGAAATATTTTGTTAATAAAAATTCTACTCGTCTGAGTGTTATAAACAATAAATAATAAATCGTTAAACTTTTGAACGTGTGGAATTTCCCTCAACAAAAGACACTTCGTGCTTGAGAGCAATGAAGAAAAAAGGGAGAATAGAAGTTCTTTTTGGGATATGCACTTTGGCAGCTAGTGTGGTGAGTGGAAAAGAATAGAGTACTTTAGTTTTAAAATGCTTCGTCTATAACCACTTCTTTTTCTTCTTATCTCAAAAATTCCTCTCTAAAAGGTATTCGAAAATATTAAAAGAAAAAAATATACCTAGTATCACATTTTCAGAAAAAAATCCATTATTTATTGTTAGTTTCTATTAATTTAGTATAAATGAAAAACAACCATAAACTTTGGCTTTGTATATTTAAAATTTTTAATTGTTTAAACAAAAGGAAAAAACATATAAAAAGAAGAAGTCGTCAAATAATAGTAAAATAAATAAAAATTTGTAAATTATTTATTTGTTTATATAATACTATTAAGTATTTATTTCATATAATTTATAAATTCATTGAAAAAAATTTATTTGATTCAAGTAAAAATTATTTTGTAAATAAATAGATAAGTTTTATAATAAACAAGTAATCGGTTATTTGAATCAATCAAATAAATTTTTCCCTGTGTTGTAATAATAATAATAAAATAAATACGAATAAATAATAATATGAATATTAACAATATAGTAATAATAATAATAATAATAATAATAATAATAATAATAATAATAATAATAATAATAAAAATAGTAACAATAATGATAATATTTAGTAATATTTTTAAGGAAAGGGAACTGTTACTAATTCACCAGTGAATAGTGCATTTTGTAGATTAATTAACGATTAAATTTTTTCCAATTAAGTGATTTCTAATATATACGTTATTAAATATGCATTTATGTGATTTCACTCTAAATAATAAGTACAAAGAAATTAAGTTCACCCTACTTAAATGATTATGGTAGTATACATATATATATATATATATCGTATATTCTTGAATGTAGCATTGAATCATTCTCATGTAGATTTTCTTTTCGGTCGTTGCTCCGGATGACAATGTCTTTCTTTAAGTTATCAATATATATGCGGGGAGAAAAATATATTTTATTAACGATTTCATTCATGTTTTATAGAAAATTCAAAAATCATTTCGTCTCAGTACTATTTACACTGAAAAAATGAATTTATTTGATTCAAATTGGTAACTGATTGGATTTTTTATCAAATAAATATTTGTGCTTTAATCAAATAATTTTTATTTAAATTAAATATAAATTTTATTTGAACCATTAAATTTGGTATTTGAACCAATAAATTCAGTATTTGAACAACTAAATTCATTATTTGAACCAATAATTTCAATATTTAAAGCAATTACCAAATATGTTGTTAAGATAAAAATTATTTGATTCAAGTAAATATTTATTTGATAATAGACAAATAATTGTGTTTATTTCAATGAAATAAATTTTTTGTTCAGTGTAAAAGATATAAAAAAGGTGATATGAAGAAAACAAATTATTTTTAAAGGAAAATAATTTATTCCAATCATATTTATTGTTTACATGGAAAAAAGGTTTGCCTGGAAGAGTCATAGTACTATAAAAAATATAGTGTTTTATAAATCTATTAAAATAAAATAATAATAAACAATAATAATGATAATAATTATAATAACAGTAATAATAATAAATAATAATAAAAAGTAATAATATTAAATAATAATAATAGGAATAATAAGAAAAAGAAATAAAGAACAGTTCATTATAAGAAAATTATTTAACAACCATATCAAGTTAAGTTTTATATTTAAACGCAAAAAAAGGCTAATCTTATATTCTTATCATTACTCCTGCTTGAACACCATTCATTTGTTTGTTTTTCATACCTTCTCCTCTTATTTGCTGACAAGAATTTAAATTCTTTAGGACTGAAAAGTGCAAAAACGTGATGAATAAAAATAGCTACAATGGACATTTTTTTATTCTCCGAACAGTATATAAATAAGACTAATTTATATTGTATTAATTTTTAACAATGGTAGTTCAAATTGGTAACAACTTCAGCTAATTATAATTGTAATTGGTTGCAGACAGTATATTTATAATTTATTTAAAGCCTCATTAGATCAAAATTTACAGTCAATTATAATTTTAGTTAATTAAACTAGCAGTGAATTACATTGTCAGTGAATGGCTAGATTCAATTTACTAATTACTATAGCTTCAGTGTCGAATATGATTTACAATTATTTACTGCTTCATTTATTTACACTTTCAATTATAGCTTCAGTGTCGAAAGAAAATTGTTGTTAATTTTATTTGAATTTATATTCTTTTACAGCTTCATTTAGCTGTATTTTTTCACCAATTTAAAAAAAGTTTTATTATTTTAATTTCTTTTTAAAAAATCGCTTTTTATTTCGATTTTTATAGGTATTTATATACTGTTCTCTAAAGTTGAATTAGTTAAAAATAATTAATTTGATAGTAAAAAATCAGCCACTGATTCAAACACAGAATGTAAATAAATTTTAAAAAAATTATTGAATTAATAGAAATTTTGTGAAATTCAACTGAAAATAATTAAATTTGTTAAAGAATTTCATTAAAAACTTTTTAACAAATCGAATTTTCAAAGTATTTTAATTTAATAATTGATAAATAATTGAATTTTATAAAGATTCACATTCTAATGTACATACCTATTTAAAAAAAGATAAACACTTAAATTTTTTTAATAAAATTAAATCTTGGCGAAGTTTTTTTGAATATTCTAAAAAATAAGATTTTTGAAATTTTTCAATTCTGTTGTTTCAAGATAATTGAATTTTTATAAACAAATAATTGAAAATTTTTAATATACTTGAAATTTCTTTACATTCTATTAACAATAATTAAATTTTTTTAAAGAATTTTATTTAAATTTTTCGAAAATAATCAAGGGTAGTTCGTCACCGTTATTATAATTTTATTTTTAAAAATTTCTTCGCAATATATTCAATTATTTTCATAAATAGTAAAACTCATTGAAGAATTTAAATTATTTTTAATACAATTTTAATCAAATTCCTCGAAAAATGTAATTATTCTTAAAAATTTTATTAAAATTCGTCAAAAGAATTCAATTATTTCTAGAAACTGTAAAAAAAAATTCTTCTCAAGAATTCAATTATTTCCATAAATAGTAAAATTCTTCAGATTTACTCAATTCTTTTGAATATAATTTTTAAAAAATATTCTTCACAAGAATTCAATTATTTTCAAAAGTAATAAAATTCTTCGTAGAAATTCAATTATGTTTCAAAATTTTATTAAATTCTCCTCAAAATTTCAATTATCTTTATAAATAATTAAACTGTTCTCCACAATTCAATTATTTTCAAAAATTTTAATAAAATTCCACGCAAACATTTAATTATTTTCATAAATAATAACATTGTTTGGAAGGATTCAATTACTTTTATAAATAGAAAAATTCTCTGACGAAATTCAATTAGAACATTTTAATAAAATTGAATTAATAAAATTTTCAATTATAATTATGAACAGACAAGATTATTTTCAATAATTAAAAAACTTCTTTGTTTAATTCAATTATTTTCCAAATTTTTAATTAAAATTATTCAAAAAAAACATTATTTTCAATAAAAAATTTAAAAAACTTGTCAAAAGAATTTAATTATTCATAAAAACTCTATTAAAAATTTTTGAAGTCATTTGTAGATTTATTCATGTAGCTTCATTTAACCATTGTTCTATTTTGTAATAGCTTCATAGTGCCAAATAAAAGTTACAACTATTTATTGATTCATTTAACCGTATTTTCATTTGATAATAGCTTCACTGTTGAATAAAATTTTCAATTATTTTTTACCGCTTCACCCAATTATAGTTTCAATTATAGCTTCAATGTAGAATAAAAGTTACAATTGTTCACAGCTTCATCTAGCCGTAGTTTCATTTAATAACAGCTTCAGTGTCGAATAGAAGTTCACAGCTTCATCTAATCGCACAGTTTCTGTATGAATTACAGCTTCAGTGTTATTAAGGTTAAGGTCAAACTTCAAGTTTACAATTTACTATCTACAAATTGATTCTATCTTCATTAAATGTTCCGTACAATTTACAACTTCAATTTTCACCATATAAATTCAACACTGATAACTTAAAAGTATAAAATTGTTAATACTTAATGTTAGTATTATTTGGTATCATTTGATACCAAAAATGTGGATCAAATAGAAAATTGATCCAAATTTCCATCAATTTGATCCACTTTAGTATCAATTTGATACTTTCAAGAAAACTGTGAAGAGAAGATGTTATGATTTTATGGCAACATGAATTTATAAAAATGCTATAGAAAAATTTTAGAATAGAAATGAAATTACAAAGTATGGGGTTTAATTTTTGAATAAAATTTAACATGTTCCTTTAATTGTGAGTTGAAGAAATATTTGTTTATTTATATATGAAATATAAACTGTATATAATGCTCTTAGGCAAAGTATTGTATTTCATCGTGCATGTAGTTCTTCATTTATGTACCTGTGGTTTTCTAAAGAGCAGTGTGTGGTTTAACGCTTGACTGTGGTGATTTAAGTACAGTACTTCAAAGTACAGAAACTCCTTTCTCTAAGAAAAAAGAAAAAAGAAACAGAAAGAAACCAGAATCTTCTTTTTGCACACAAAACCACCTAGTTTTCTCGGAAGACGTAAAATTCATATTACAATTTTTCACATTATTACCAGAGGAGAGAAAATTCTTTAAATCAAAAATCATACGTACATATACACTGGAAACTATTTATTACAGCGTTGTTGTTGTTGCTGTTATTATTCTTATAACATAAAATATAAAATTAAATAAAAAATTAATTAAAATTCAAATATAATTACAGTTTAATAAAAACAAGGCTCGAACTAGGTCCGTAAATCCCGTAAAAGTCCGTAACTTTGCTTGAAGTTCGTAAAAGTCCGTTTTTTTTTTAAAAAGGTCCGTAATGTCCGTAATTTGATTCAAAAAGGATGAAAAGTTTTCGTAAATTGTACGATATAATTTGGAAAATTTTAGAGAAATTACAAATGATTGCAGAAGTTCAATTATTTCCAAAAGTAATAATATTCTTCGCAAAAATTCAA